TACAACAACCCAAGAATGAATGTCTTTATTGACTGGGATAATACATAGAGATGATGCAATGGAGTCTCAAGTTATTTTGTGACAGTGCTACTCAAAATGGTGGTCTCTGGACCACTTTTCACCCATAGGCAATAGGCTATCAGTCCACGGTGAGCTTCCAATAAAAAGTTAGAGCCAATGGGCACAAATATTGTGCTAATTTCTGGCACTGGGACAGAGAATCCTGCAATTTCATCAAATACCATAAGAAGCACTTTTCTAGAAACCAGAAAATGCAGATTAATAACAAAAACAATAGTGACAAAAGTATGTATGATATAAGCAAAAATTAAGCAATGGGCTCCAAGGCAAAGATGTAATGTGAAGATGTGGCTAAGCAATTCAGAGACATGCATGGTACCTTTGGAACTCAAGATGCCACAGGCAATTTTCTGGTCAGGACTGGGGTGAGTACATTCTAGCACTCTTGAAAGTTTTCAGTCTTAGGGCTGAAATAACCAAATAAAGATGGGCCCAAAATGGCTCACTTACAGATTCAGACACAACAGCTAAAGACCAATATTTATTTCTGTGTATCCAGTTCATTATTTATTCAAGCTGAACCTTCAAAATCTTTGCTTGAGCCTGAAATGGCCCAAAGAAGAGTTACATTTTTGGACTACAATTCCCAGGATCCCACCAAATGTGTGGCAGAATCGTAATGTTAAATGAGTATTTCCAATTCTGGGCATAAAACTGAGAACTCTGGTCACACAAGAATTCCCACTAGACCAGTGGTTCTCAACCTTCCTAATGCACGACCACTTAATACAGTTCCTCATGTTGTGGTGACCCCCAACCATAAATTTATTTTCATTGCTAATTCATAACTGGAATTTTGCTACTGCTATGAATCATAATGTAAATATCTGATATGCAGGATGTATTTTCATTCACTGGATCAAATTTGGCACAAATACCAGATATGCCCAAATTTGCATTCTAGAGAAGTTGGGGGGCTGATCTTGTCATTTGGGAGTTGTAGTTGGTGGGTTGTATAGTTCACCTACAATCAAAGAGCATTCTGAACCCCACCAATGGTAGAATTGGGCTAAACGTGGCATACAGAACTCCTATGACACAGAAAATACTGTTTTCTGATGGTCTTTTGTGACCTCTCTTATACCCCCCTGGCGACCCCGCCAGGGGTTCCGACTCCCAGGCTGAGAAACACTGCACTAGACATACTGATCCTGTTTGCCCCAATACTGACTTTCTCATACTGATCTTGTGAAACGGGGGGCTAAGAAATGCATGTGATTTAAGGCCAAGGATGTAGAAGCCCCCCTTCTCCAACATAAGGGAGGAGGGAGCAAGCTTGTTTTCTGCTTCCTTGGAGACTAGGACGCGGAACAATGGCTTCAAACTACAAGAGAGGAGATTCCATCTGAACATTAGGAAGAACTTCCTGACTGTGAGAGCCGTTCTGCAGTGGAACTCTCTGCCCCGGAGTGTGGTGGAGGCTCCTTCTTTGGAAGCTTTTAAGCAGAGGCTGGATGGCCATTTGTCAGGGGTGATTTGAATGCAATATTCCTGCTTCTTGGCAGGGGGTTGGACTGGATGGCCCATGAGGTCTCTTCTAACTCTTTGATTCTATGATTCTATGATTCTAAGGGATAACCATGAAAGGAAAGTATGAATTGTTGGTGATAAAAGTAATCCAGTTCTGTTTTTCCCAGACAAACAAACTGCAACTAGTAAGGTAAAGGTTTTCGAGTGACATTAAGTCCAGTCGTGTCCAACTCTGGGGGTTGGGGCTCATCTCCATTTCTAAGCTGAAGAGCTGCGTTGTCCATAGACACCTCCAAGGTCATATGGCCAGCATGACTGAATGGAGCGTCATTACCTTCCTGCCGGAGTGGTATCTATTGATCTACTCTCATTTGCATGTTTTCGAACTGCTAGGTTGGCAGAAGCTGGGGCTAACAGCGGGAGCTCACGCTGCTCCCCTGATTTGAACCTGCAACCTTTTGGTAAGCAAGTTCAGCAGCTCAGCAGTTTAACCCACTGCACCACCAGAGGGCTCCTAACTGCAACTAAGTCCCCCCCCCCTTTTTTTGTCGTGTCAGGAGCGACATGAGAAACTGCAAGTCGCTTCTGGTGTGAGAGAATTGGCCAGCTGCAAGGACGTTGCCCAGGGTATGCCTGGATGATTTGATGTTTTTATCATCCTTGTGGGAGGCTTCTCTCATGTCCCCGCATGAGGAGCTGGAGCTGATAGAGGGAGCTCATCCGCCTCTCCCCAGATTCGAACCTGCGACCCATCAGTCTTCAGTCCTGCCGGCACAGGGGTTTAACCCACTGCGCCACTGGGGGCTCCGAGTCCCATTAAAAACAATGAAATGGGACTTAAAAATCAAGACTTTCAATGGATGATTTTCATTTAATAAAAAGTGAGATAGTCATAATTTAACTAGATAATGCCCTTAAAGTTGGGACACATCCTGCTATGGCACTGCTTTACAAGATTTTTTGTTACTCACCTATTGCAAAGTTTAACATATATATATATATTTCCATCATTATTAGTATTGTTATTCATGTATCTCTATCAGCAAATATTTTCAAAGAGGCTACCCTTTTTGTTCTAAAACCACAAATGAACTCCAAAGTGCTCTGTGCCAGATTGTGATTTCATTGGGAAGACAAATGCCTTTCTTGAAACCAAACCTTTCTGCAAATTGTTCCCTACGTACTTCTTTATTTCAAGAAATTGCTTGGTCTGCTAAATGCCAGAAAATCCACTCAGTGCCAGGAATTGATAGTTTCAATATACTTCCCACTTTCCAAGGCAAATATTTCCCCCCTCTGCTAAAAAGCAACTTTTTGCTTATAGTCCTTCCTTCCAGGACATTAAAAAGGGCAAGAAAATCTTATCCTGCTGAAGTTTTGTAGTGAACAGCTGAAGAATAATGCTAAACCTACTTTAATCTGAAATAAGTAGAGGCTCACCGCAAGAGATAAATGTCTCAAAAGGTTTGTGCAAAGATTTTGAGGCTGGAACGCCAGAATGGTGTAGTGACTAAAATGCATGACCGTGACTTGGGAAATCAGGCTCAAGACATGAAACTCGCTTGCTGACTTTGGCTGTCAATCTGACCAACAGCACAGGATTTGTTGTGAGGATAAATTGGGGAGAAATAAAATCACATATGGTTCATTAAATCTTATGGGAAAGGTAGGTGGTACTGCCATTCTTGAAATTTTAACTGTAACTGTATAAAAATGGGGGGAAATGAACCCCTCCCCAAATCACCAGGATTCGGGCTTTTACTTCAAATTAAGGAGTGTTATTTTGATATGCTGAAAGGACTCACTTAAGAAGCACACTGTAATTTGTCCTAACAGGTTATATCTGAAAACTATAAGTGTTGAACTATCTAGATTGGCAATGGCCCTTGGGGATACAAATATATCTACCCAAACCCCATTAACTCAGTGTTTCTCAATCTTCCTAATGCGGCGACCCGTTAATACAGTACCTCATGTTGTGGTGACCCCCAAAATAAAATTATTTTCATTGCTACTTCATAACCGTCATTTTGCTACTGTTAAGAATCATAATGTAAATATCTGATATGCAGGATGTATTTTCATTCACTGGATCAAATTTGGCACAAATACTCAATAAACCCAATCTGATGGGATTTCGGGGGGAGGGGGGGATTGATTTTGTCACTTGGCAGTTGTAGTTGCTGAGATTTATAGTTCACCTACAATCAAAGAGTCCCTTGAACCCCACCAAGGATAGAATTGGGCCAAACTTCCCACACAGAACTCCCATGATCAACAGAAAATACTGGAAGTGTTTGGTGGGCACTGACCTTCAGTTTTGGAGTTGTAGTTTACCTACATCCAGGTAGAGCACTGTAGACTCAAGCAATGATAGATCTGTACCAAACTTGGCACAAATATTCAATATTCCCAAATGTGAACACTGGTGGAGTTTGGAAAATAGACCTTGACATTTGGGAGTTGTAGTTGCTGGGATTTATAGTTCACCTACAATCAAAGAGAATTCTATACCCCAACAATGATAGAATTGGGCCAAACATCTCACAAAAAAACCCCATGATCAACAGAAAATACTGTGTTTTCTGATGGTCTTTGGCGACCCCTCTGACCCCCCAGGGGTCCCAACCTCCATGTTGAGAAACGCTATTTTAAACAGACCAAGGTTCCTTTCCAAACTTCCCACACAGAACCCCCATGCCTTGAAGGAACTCACTAGCGTGAGCCTCCCTCCAGCCTTGCATGCTCTCCTTTATCCGCACCATGCGCTGCCATGCGTCGAGCACACCTGCTCTCCCCTCCCTGCTAGGAGTTTCAGAAAAAGATCTTCCCTTGGCTGAGAGGCCAGCCAATCACAGTAGAGGAAGGTTTTAGGTGGGAGGATTTGCTGTCTGTTTCCAAAAAGGATAAGAAGGACAGGCGGAGAGATCTTCAGCCTTCTCTGCCAAAGGGTTCCTAAGCCCATCTGAAATATTTTTTCTGATGGTCTTTGGCAACCCTTCTGAACCCCCCTTGCCGCAGGGGTCCTGACCCCCAGATTGAGAAATGCTGCATTAACTCAAGATCTTTTCCACTGACAATGCCAATGGTCCTTGTAAACAATCATATGTGCTCTGCCCTGGTGCTAGAAACATCTCAGTAGTTCAGCTTTCAAATGCAGTCTGCATGCCATTTGTAGGCAACATAATAAATTATGGAATTTTTAATTCAATAGCAATGCCAGCTCTGATTTTTTGTGTTTTTAAGGGTTGTTTTACCCTATAATCTTAGGGAGAGAATTCATTAATCACTGCCAGACTTTCATGGAGACCTACATGCTGCAGAAAATAAATGCTTGTATGATTGGAAAGAGAAAAACATATACTAGTTGTAACCCTAGCTAAAAAAAAAAAGCTGCAATTTTCACTGAGGTTGCATAAGAAAGAAAACTCAAGAAGAAGAAGGAAGCCGCAGAAAGTAAACATTATAAATTCCTAAAGTTGTACAGCAAGTTTCATCCACATCCAGATGCCTCAGTAGATCTCTCTCAGATTTGGATGGTCAGGCTTACTGTCATGATTCTTGGCAAGAACAAGGAAGGGTGGTTTGAGCAAAAAAATAAAATAAAATGAATTCCATTCCATAGTTAGGTGCTGAAACAGTTATTTATAAATAAAGTGATTCATAAAAATTTGGTTTTCTTTAAAAAATATAAATTTCAGAGTCACACCTTTTCTTTTACGCTCCACCAGTTCAAGACAATCTGTGTTGGCAAAGCAAGGAAAGAAGTGGAAGCAAGAGGCCCAGAGCCGTCTTCCGCTGAGGAACAGCACAGGCAATCGACAAAAACATATCCTGAGGGTCCGAGACTTTGGCCTTGACTGCGGTGGGGCCTTTGCTAGACCTCCCCATCTTCATCTGAGCTGCTGTTGTTGCTGCTCCCGCTGCTGCTCCCGCTCTCGCCACTCCCCGCTTGCCGGGTCTGGCTCCGAGCTGCCTCTGCCGCCGCTGCCTCTGCTGCCGCTGCCTCTGCCGCTTCCTTCTCCCGCTGTTTCAGAGCCGCAGCCTTTTTTTCCTGCTCAGCATGGCTTTTCATGTGGGCACTGCGACTTTTCACCTTGTAGAAGATTCTGCAATGGACAGAAAAGCAGCTTATTCTACCGGCATCGGTTTATACTCAAAATATAAACACATGCAGCTGTGGACAAGTTTACATAGGGACTACCAAACATAGCATTGTCCAAACACAAATCAAGGAAGATGAAAGGCACTGCAGGCTAACTCAACCAGAGAAGTCAGCCATAGCAGAGCACCTGATGAACCAGCCTGGATGCAGCATATTATTTGAGAACACAGAAATGCTGGACCACTCTAACAACTACCATGTCAGAAGCCATTGAAATCCACAAGCATATGGACAATTTTAACAGAAAGGATGAAACTGTGAAAATGAACAAAATCTGGCAACCAGTATTGAAAAACTCTAAAATCGTAACAGTATTGAAAAAACTCTAAAATCATAACAGTACATAAAGAACACTCAAAAACAAGGGAATTCCAGACAAGAAACAATCAGGGCCAGCTAATCACCTCCAAACAAAGGATTCCCCCAGGCAGTAAGAAGCCAGACCTTGAAACTGCTAGGCCATTCAATGCTACTCAAGGTAGTCAATTGCATCGTTCACGTTTGCCTCCAACAGATAAGAATTATTTCTTCCACCTCGGATATTCCACAGATATATAAACCCCACTAGCTCAGTTTCCAACAGACCTCACAACCTCTGAGGATGCCTGCCATAGATGTGGGCGAAATGTCAAGAGAGAATGCTTCTGGAACATGGCCATACAGTCCGGAAAACTCACAACAACCTATAAACATATTTTTAAAGCCTCAAAAGGCCTAGCTAATTTCCCCTGAAATAACTCTTTGTACCACAGTCACGTGCCACTTGAGTGTTATTAAGTGTTAATCTGGCTCCAGTAAATGATGTCATTCATGAGTCGTCCACCTTTAATGGTCCAGGAGGAAGGAAAAATGATCTCATTACCAAAGTGGGCCATTTCACATTTAGAAGAAGGAGTAGGATTTTCTCTTCTTGACCAGTTTTACAAAATTGATGGAAGTCAGGTAGGCATAGGCACAGGGACCAGGAAGAGACAATGTTCTCTTCTATAGTCCATGTTGATTCTGAGTCTTCTCAGAATTAACTTTATGGGGGAAAGTGCTTGGGGATTAGGTTAACATCCTATATAGGTTTGGACTGAACATTTATTAATTTGCAAACATATGGGAGTTTAAATTATCAAAAATATCATTAAAAGCAGTTCTAGTCTTCAAATATTAGTTTTTTCCTTTAAATCATCTGCATCCAGCTTCCTAATACTTTCACTTTGTTTATTTATTTATTTACATACAATATTTATAGTCTGCTCTTCTCACCCCAAAGGGGACTCAGGGTGGATCACAGAACACTTAGTGCTGTTTATACACTGACAAGACAGATAACTGTACATAGAGGTATATATATGCTTTCCCCATCTTCGGCATCTTGGAGGCTTGTGCACAGTTCTGGCCACAGGGGGGTGCTGTCATTCCATCTCCCCTGCGAAGAGCTTTGTTTGTAAACTTCCTCCTTGATCAAATCATTGGCATTTTCTGGCATTTCCTTATGGGTGCCTTCAATACTTCCCCACTTTTAAGTGGTATCTCTTTATCTACTCACATTTTGCTTTCAAACTGCTAGGTAGGCAGAAGCAGGACTAAAGGCCAGGAGTTCCCCTTGACCCAGGCTTCAAACTGTCAACCTTTTGATTGGCAAGATTTACTGTAGCTGGTGATTAACCTGCTGTGCTAAAGCCCGGCACATATTCAATTTAGATTACATACGTGATTTTCTTCTCACTATTTATTAACTTCCATCCACTTCTAACCCTAACCTAAACACCACTACCCCCAGATTATAAATAAGATGGATAGAGATTTTATTTTCTTGATTTCATTATTTAAAAAACGGGAAAACTCAGTTCTGTTAGTTTCTGCAAGTCTGGCAGAAAGGTTACTGGTAAGCTTCTAATCCAGTGGTTCCCAGACTGTGGTCTATGGACCACCAGTGGTCCCCAAGAACTAATATTTGGTCCCCAGTCTCACCATTACTACTCCATTACAACAAGAGCGACCAGTCTTGCAAAACCCTCTTACAGTGCCAAAGCAACAGGGATGTTGGGAGGGGAGAGACCGACTACCCACAAAACGCATGACAACAAGCCTTCTGACTGCTGCATCTCCTCCTCCCTCACCCTGAGTGGAGCTGTTCAATGTGGCGCCTGGAAGCGAGGGCACATTGGTGTCTTCATTTTTAGGCCTCTTCCTGTTCGAAATAGCAACCTTCCAGGTCTCCACTAACTGTTTGTTAATGTATATAATTGTTAGCCTGCATTCTATGTGTATGTTGATTTGCCAGTTTGGCTTACTTCTTTGATGTGGGAAGAGTTATAGATGTGATTGTACTGAGCATGTGCAAAGTCAGGACTCCATTTTTTTCCAGTTTGCTTTTGGACTTCAATGAGGTAGATGTGTGTTCATGGACTTCAATATAGTAAGTCTGCTTACTACTTCATTGGAGGTGGATTTGTGTGCTCATGGACTTGAGTGGGTACAGATATACTTAAAGATAATTTAAGTCTATGTGCCTATAAGGTGAATATGAATCTACAAGTTTGTTAGTAAACCAGATACGTTATTTTTCAAAGAGGACTACTTTGTTTTGTCCCTTGAGTGCATATGTTTTGAATAAGAGGTTTTAAGGAAGTGTGTATAATTTTGGGCAACAGCAAATTACAACAGCAAATTCTACTTCAAACTACCATCCTCTGCTAACCAGATACATTTTTGTAGTGGCCTGTCTTTATCCTTGGCCGTTTAAAGACATGGTTCCTCAGTTTAACAGCTGAGCTACCTGTGTGCTATTACATTAATGTTTTTATTAATATCACTTGTCTTAAGGTTTGACTTTTAACAAGGTCATGCCATTCTTTCGACTTGTGGTTTTCAGGTGGTCTCTATGTTCAGATAGATTCACATTTGCCAAACGAAGGTGACAACATTTTACCTTTGCAATAAGGTTATAGTTCACTGGAATTTCCAATAGATTATGGACTTTCCAATAGTTTCTAGGGTTATTTGGGGTGTTGATTCAGAAAATTGCATTAGATAGACCACATCAGCTCTAGATTATTAAATATGGTTTTCTGTGGGCGAGGAGATGGCGACTACTGGATGGCATATGTTCTGTATCAGAAACTAGAGCTGATGTGGTTTGTCCAATGCAATTTTCTGAGTCAGCACCCCAAATAACCAAATCTAAAGTTGACCAAAAATTGATTTATAACCCATTTAGTACTAATGTTGGAGTGGTTCCTGGTCAAAAAAAGGTTGGGAACCACTGTTCTAATCTAACATTCTCTATAGACAACAGGCATTCTCCATCTCATTTTAATCAGTGAAACATGGAAGGAAGTATGCATAAGTTAAACAAAGGCCAATGGATATTACCTTAATAATAAGCATACTTCTTCAATCCTGATATGATAATACAATAAAGATAAAAATGAATTAGTTGGATTTCTGTGGAAATGCTCCTCCAAAACATTCCTGAAACATGTTTCTGTCTTCATAGGAATCAGTCAATTAATGCCAGGAAAATACTGACACTTCTGAACTAGGACATGACATCTAAGTATCAGGAAGCGCAGAAAAACTATGCACATTTTTTAAAATACAGCAGATATATCTTTTAAAAAACATGTAGAATAATGCTGCCATATTTATTACTTCTGGTTATATAGAAGGAGTACCAAAACCTTTCTTCACTGGTTCAGAGTCCTTCCATTCTTACCTGCCACACTTTTTACATGGATATTCTTCCCCTTGGTTCTGGACTTTGTTGGCAGTCTCTTGTTTGGGCTTTGGCTTTCTTTTTTTCTTCTGTGCAGGAGGAGAGGTCTTCCGATATTTAATGGGTGCCTCTTTCGCCCTCCTTGAGCTTCTGCCCCTGGACTCTGCCGTTCTTGGACCACCGGGATCTTGGTGCCTTTCCGTAGGGAGATTGCCAACCTTCCAAGGAACAGAGAATTATTTACAAGTTAATAGTTGCGGACCAATGTCCAGAGACTGGGGGTCCTTCCACACAGCCCTATATCCCAGAATATCAAGGCAGAAAACCTTACATTATCTGAGTGTAGATTCAGATAACCCAGTTCAAAGTAGATATTATGGGATTTTCTGCCTTGATATTCTGGGATATAGGGCTGTGTGGAAGAGCCCAAGGAATTACCATCAAAAATTTAATGGGACATGAAATATGAGGAATTTTTTTCAATGACCAAAGCATGGGAATATAAGTAATTAGTGGAAAGCCCAGTGTGAATTGGTTTAATGTAGAACAACATGTGAAACGTCAGATACCACAAGCAAACAAACTGTAATATTCTATTAATCATGTTACACATGATTACAAACATTTCTTCTTCACAATATTGAATTAAGCTTGTAATAAAGATAAACTGTTGTTGCTGTTTCTTTCTCTTTTTTTCATTTGTTTTACAAATATGTACTTTTGTAACTTCAAGGTGAGACCACTATTATGTACAGTTTCCTGTGAAGTAAGGGCCGGGCTTTAGCACAGCAGGTTAACCTCCAGCTGCAGTAAATCTTGCCAATTTATAGGTCCTTAATACAACATCACTTGGCTTCGGTTGATGAAGGGTTTAATGCAGTACCCCAGTTTAACTGCACCATTTTATATACTTATATCGAGTTTTTCCTTTTTTTTTTTTTTTTTTTTGCCTTTCTTGCTAGCTAAAGAGACCCAAGCAATGCTACTTTTCTTCATGGACATTTTTTCCAGTCTCTTGATTATTTTGACTTTTCTTTTCTGCACCTTTTCCGGTTCTACAAACTCTTTTACAGATGACAAGAACTGTATATATTATTCCAAGTCTTGGTGAGACATGATTTCTTGACAGATTACATGCCTTCTACACTGTCATATAAAATCCAGATTACCTGCTTTGAACTGGATTATATAGCAGTGTAGACTTTCACAGTTCAAAGCAGATAATGTGGATTATCTGTATTGATAATGTGGATTATATGGCAGTGTAGAATGTAGTGGCAGTTTCATTTCAATACAGTTTCTAATTTGGTCCAACATGGAATCTTCCCTCTTTTTTAATGGTAGCCACAACCTGAATCCATCAAAATTCCTAGAGTCGCTTGGCAGGAAGCCAGTCATAAAACGCATACCTGGTCCTCTATATGTGACGTCTGTGCAGGTTTGGGAGGCACAGCGTTGCTGCTCTTGTCATACGACTCGTCTCCTTCTACCACTTCCTCTTTTATAACCACTTCATTCTGCACTTCCCTTTCATCATCCTCATCTTCAGTGTTTTCATAATCTTCATTGTATGTTCTGGGAGGAAGCGTTCGGGTAAGCCTATGGGAGCTCTTTAAGAAGACAGAAAAAGGTGGGAAAAATTAAAAGCTAGTAAAGGAAACAAAAGTTAGCTGTAGCAGTAGGACTGCCAGAAAAGTACAGGCATGGGCAAACTTCGGCCCTCCAGGTGTTTTGGACTTCAACTCCCACAATTCCTAACAGCTTACCGGCTGTTAGGAATTGTGGGAGTTCAAGTCCAAAACATCTGAAAGGCTGAAGTTTGCCTATGCATGCTCTGGTACCTTTAATGGTTATGTAAAGGTAAAGGTTTTCCCTTGACATTAAGTCTAGTCGCATCCAACTCTGGAGGCAGATTATGCTCATCTCAATTTTTATGCTGAAGAGCCAGCATTGTCCATAGACACCTCTTAGGTCATATGGCCAGCATGACTGCATGGAGCGTCATTACCTTCCCGCCAAAGTGGTACCTACTGATCTATTCACATTTGCATATTTTCAAACTACTAGGTTGCCAAATGCTGGGGCTAATAGCGGGAGCTCACCCCACTCCCTGGATTCAAATCGCCAATCTTTAGGTCAGTAAGTTCAGCAGTTAAGAGGTTTAACCCACTGCGCTTGTGTAGAAGAAGCCTTTTCAATAGCTGTCGCTTGCTATTTTGCTATCAAGTAGCACCTGCTGAAATTCTCTTTTCTAGTCAATCAATAAAAGTAGAGGCGCCATGTCTCCAGTTCAATCTGGTATCATTAAGTACCTACCATACTATTGCTTTAGAAAAACTAGTCTCTTCCACAAATATTTATTTATCTTATTTATATCCTGCCTTTCTCTACCCCAAGGAATTTATCTCCTGCCTACCCCAAATATAGGGCTATGAACTCACTTTAACTGTCATGGCAATCTATATAAATAAAAATGTAATGTTTGTTTGTGGGATTAACATAACTCAAAAACCACTGGACAAATTGATACCAAATTTGGACACAATACACCTATCAGGCCAACAAGTGACCATCACTCATAAAAAAACACTGAAAAATACATCAAAAGAGACTTCAAAAGCCCCAAAACAAACAAAAAAACCATATATATACAATATATATATACATAAACACATATATAAACAAATATATACACACACATATACGCATATATACACACACAAAACACATATATACAGACTGGGCCACAGCAACGCATGGCAGGGGACAGCTAGTATTCTATGAAATCCTGTGGTTTGCCATTTAGGAAAACCAGAGAGCTCTAGCATCTCACAAAACTGCAAAACCCAGGATTCCAAAGGAAACAGAGAGGGCAGTGGAATTATAGTGCTACAACTGTGTAGTGCGGAAAGCACCCCATGACATCAGAAGAACCTGACTGTCCAACCAAGCTTTGATTCATACCATTTCAACAGCTCCTTCTGACAAAATTCAATTACAGCTCTCAAATAAAGTTATCCCATTATTTAAAAAGTGAAGTACTTTTGGCTTTATTGACTTCTGGGGAATTTTACAGGTATCCAACATGTTTTTTATTGCCACCACCAACACTCAGCAGGTTACCTTTATATCGACTTCTGCTTCATCTTTAACCGTTCTTTCATTGGTTGCATCAACATCTCCAAAGATTAAGGTCCCATTCCGACCTATTTTGACTTGCTTTTTGTAAGTGTAATAGAACTCCACGCATTGAGCCACTGATTTGGTTTTTATCTGGAATATTGGAAAGGGAGGGGAAGGACAACAGAGAGCAGGGAAAGAAGAAAGACAAATAAATTGCACACAACTCCACGCAGTATATTCATAGTCCTCCAAAAAGACAGTCCTCCCAACTCTGGACTCTTCCAGATCTATCCTTCTTGAGAGTTGGAATACACTGGGTTCTGGGGAAGGTAAATTTTCCAACAATGTACACAACACAGGAAAGAGGTCGGTGTCAAGCAGTATAGGCACATCCAGATTTAATTCTTACCCATCTGGGTATTTACACATCAAAAATAAACTGCACACTTCAGTTCCAAGAAACGGCTTCCCATCTTTAATTTGTCTCTTATCTCTGACCAGTGTTTGTAGATAAGAGAAGAGCCACATGGGTAATCCCTGGTCAAAATATACAGGGGCTCCACTCTTATAACCAGGCCTGCTCTGTTCTCAAAATGTTTTTGGTTTCAGAAAGTGCTAGACATGTGCAAGCAGGCTTTACTATAATTCAACACCCATTACCAAGTATTTTCTGGAGCCGCAGTGGTTAAACCCTTGTGCTGGCTAAACTTCTGACCTGAAGGGCAGCAGTTCTAATCTGCAAGACAGGGTGAGCTCCCATCTGTCAGCTTCAGCTTCTCATGTGGAGACATAAGAGAAGCCTCCCATAGGATGGTAACACATCCGGACGTACCCTGGGGAATGTCCCTGCGGACAGCCAATTTTCTCACATCAGAAGCGACTTGCGGTTTCTCAAGTTGCTCCTGACACAATGAAAAAGTGCTATTTGCTTTATGCAGTTGAACAAGCTAACTAACCAGGAACCTTTCAACTGGATATAATTTCTGGATTAATCTACACCAGAAAACCAGCTTCGGGGGAAAACAGAATATTAAGATGTGGCTTGAAATTGGTACAATACTTTATTCCAAAGCTATTAGACATAGATTTCTAATTAAGATGAAACAGGAAACTATAGCTAGATGAAAAGCAGTTGGTTTGTCTACTCCTGTTGTAAAAGGGGGAAATGAATGAGCTATACATACACCCAATCAACTAATTTAAATTTCATCTGATAAGCCAAAATATTCATCTGATAAGCCAAAATATACTTCTCTGATTGTCTGACTCGAGTCATTAAAATGGCTACTATTTCAGTTTCATACTGCAGCATTACATAATGAAATTGCTTCGCTCCAGTATGAAGTAAACACTCAGGTCAAGTATTGAGTGACATCTCATGAGACTTGGAACCAGAGATCAATGCTCTTGTAGTGCATTAGGAAAATGACAAACAACTTACAAGTTTCTGAACTAGGAAGAAGTCTTTCTTGTAGATGGCAATTCCCTTATTGAAGAGCTTTTTCTCAAGTGCAGTCCACCGATCTGATCCTAAAAGGAAAGAGAAAAGACAACAATGCTTCATAAATATTAAATACTGTTGAGAAAGGTCTCACCGGAACATCTCCAATAGCATATCTGAGTTTCATTTAGTGCTTCTGCACCCCAGCCAGAGGATAGAGTTTTGTTCATTCCATATTTGTTTTTTGCCTTAAATTTAAGCAATGTTGAAGAAGTACATTGTTATCTTTAAACTTCTGCTGGTAGTGAAATAAAAGTCAGTAGCAAGCAAAACTTAAAAGTAAAGAACGTTTCAATATTCTTTCTCCTTTAGGTCAAGTATCTGTGGTACCTGGGGAGAATAAATTATGGGGTATATATATTGTTTGGGGGCCACTGGTGGTGCAGCGGGTTAAACTGCTGAGCTGCTGAACTGGTTGACCAAAAGGTCAGCGGTTCAAATCCAGGAAGCAGGGTGAGCTCCCTCTGTTAGCCCTAGTTTCTGCCTTCCTAGAAGTTCAAGAATATGCAAACGTGAATAGATCAATAGGTACTGCTTCTGCGGGAAGGTAATGGCGCCCCATGCAGTCATGTTGGTCAAATGACCTTGGAGGCGTCTACGGATAACGCTAGCTCTTTGGCTTAGAAATGGATACAAGCATCACCCCCCAGAGTCAGATACGACTAGACTTAATGGCAGGGGAAACCTTTACCTTTTTACATTGTTTATCGAAGTTCTTTCCCACACTATAGTTGGCCCCCAATATTTACAGATTTTGTATCCATGTATTCAATGATCCATGGCTTGAAAATCATTGAAATCATTGAAAAATCAAACCTTGATTTTGCCATTTTATATAGGGGCATGGTTTCATTACGCCACTGAATATAATGCGACTTCAGTATCCATGGATTTTGGGATCCTCAGGGATCCTGAAACCAAGCCCCAGTGAATAACAAAGGGTCCAATGGACACAGTTATGGCACCTTGACACCACTTCAACTGCCGCAGCTCCATCTTAGAGAATTCTGGGATTTGAGGTTTTGTTAGATATTTAAAATACTGTACTATGCCTGAAAGGTTTAATGCAGACATAGGCAAACTTGGGCCCTCCAGATGTTTTGGACCAACTCCTACCATTCCTAACAGCCCTTTCCTTTCCCCCCTCAGCCACTTCTCCTTCAACTAGATGACTGCCCTTTATTCCAGTATGTTCTCTTTAGAAGTGAGCTCTAAAGATGATAATGTACAACAGTAGTTCTCAACCCGTGGGTCCCAGGTGTTTTGGCCCACAAGTCCCAGAAACCCCAGCCAGTTTACCAACCGTAGGGATTTCTGGGAGTTGAAGCTAAAACATCTGGAGACCCACAGATTGAGAACCACTGCTCTACAAATTTTGAATGATTTTAAAAACTGTAGTCCAATATATATTGTCACCTATACTGGTTTGAACTTAAATCAAAAAAGGATAACGTTCACATCCCACAACCTGTGAATACTGTATGCCAGGAAGAAACATAAACACACAGAGAGATGAGCTACATACATACATACATGCATGCATACATACATACATAGTGTGTGTGTATTAGTAGAACCATGTAAACATAATACTCTAATCAAGGACACAATTCAAACATTAATGATGCAAATACCATGAGCTTTGCTTCAATTTTGGAGAGTAAACTGAAGCTCTTTTGAAGGGAACTCTAAAGGCCCCAATAAACTATCATTCCAAGTTTCCGGAGTAGAATAAAAACGCACGTGGTTTAAATATCAACACTTTGGTAATGGTCTTAGAAACGTCTTCAATTTTCTACTGCAAGAGTGATTAAGATTCCAGTAGGAGTAGATTATGGTAAAACAGGGATGGGTTTTAAATGGAAAATAGGTAATACTTGCACAGTAATTAATTCAAATTTAACTTAGGACTCTCTATTTAAAATGTTTTATGACAAGATTCATCATTCTTTCAAATTTACACATGCATGCAATATCAAGGTTTCTTTAGCATCATTTCTAAAAGTAGAGCACACTGTAGTAAGCCATGCATTGAGTACATGTTGTCATAGATACTCCACAATCTGGATGAAAGCATTTTGGTTCCATGGGGGGAAACATCACGTAGAAAGAAGAAATGGATTAATTGGAATGTTGCCTGGTAACAGTGTACACTTTGGGTAATGTTATACACTACAGTTCCTATGGTACCTGAGAAGAAGGATTTCGTAAGGAAGAATACCTTACGAAATGCAGTTCAGGGACTGGATTGGGAGCGCTCAAGCACACTAGTCTAACAACACAGGACAAAATGGCAACTTTTGGGATTCCTTGGACTGGAGTCTTGACATGTGAAGTGAGATCAAATGGATGTAATTGTGTAGTGCCAATATAATTTAAGTCTCTCTCCTGGATCAGGACTAAAAGTTCTCTTATGCCTAAACAGTAAGGATCCAGGAAAGAAAGGAAAAAAGGACAAGCAATGTCTACTACTCGGAGCCGCGGTGGCGCAATGGGTTAAACCTTTGTGCTGCTGAACTGCTGACCTGAAGGTTGGCTGAACTGCTGACATGAAGGTGAGCAGTTTGATCTGCGAGATGGGGTGAGCTCCTATTTATCAGCCCCAGTTCCTGCCAACCTAGCAGTTTGAAAACATGTGAGTCGATAAATAGGTACCATTTCGGTGGGAAAAGGCAAAGAGAGAATCCAAGCAATCTTGCTGGCCACACAATTCGATGTCAACACAGGCTCCTCGGCTTGAAAAATGGGAGAGAGCATTTCACCAGAGCCAGAGATGAAGCACTGCCTGCAGAAGCCGGAAATTAAATGGGAAGGAGAAGCCTCTCCCTTTGTTTGTGTTTATGTGTCTCATTGTTTATGACTGGAAAGGCATTGAATGTTTATCTATGTATTTAAATGCTGTAATCCGCTCTGAGTACCCTAAGGGAGAAGGGCAGAATATAAGGTGTATTATTATTATTATTATTATTATTATTATTATTATTATTATTATTATTATTATTGCTACTATTACTACTACTTTGTTTCCAACTTACCTGTATAGTGATAGTCTACCAATGGATGGTTGGAAGACCTCACAGACTTCTTCAGCAGCAGTTTGGTCAGAGCACTCTGAGGGTAAACACACAAAAAACCGTGAGTTATGGTGATGCTTAAATATACCCACTAACTTCGTAAGAGCTCCTCCCTGAATCCAGGTCGGAAAATGTACTTTTCGGGACTAACACCACCAGAATTCTCCAACATGGTCGTGCCTGCTGTAATTCTTGAAGTTGTATCTTTATGAATCTCCTCCTTCTACTGAGGGGGTGTCTAAAAAATATTATCCAGAGGATGATATTTAGTCTCTCCCTTCAGATTCAATTTAACGCTCTTCACCTACCAGAAAATACATATTTGAGACATAATTGATTAATTCCCCTTCCTCCTACACCAAACTATTATCTCATTTGATAATGGTCCTTGCCAGCACATGTCCAATTAAAGAATTCCCGTGCAGGGATTTCCCCCTTAATTAACAACTCTCTGCAGTGCCAGTTAACACCCATGATTAATCATTCAATTTATTCCAGTGCCAGTAAATAGTATTTCAAAGCAACTAGGCAAATACAGGCCAAAATAAATCCAAACCTTTCAGGAAATCAACTCCTATCACCAGGACTTATGTAGGACATAAGCAGGAGATATCACTACACTTGTCTTTTGGAAAGCATTTGTGATTTGAAAGTATTTATCAGTTCTCTTTCTTTTGGTGTTACTATTGATGAAACTTTACTGCGTAAGTATTAGGCAGATAATTTAAAGTTTCCACAAGCAACATACATGTTTACCATCTGAGTCCTTCTACACATTTGTATTTTACAGTATTTTATCTTTTCACCTCAGCACGCAGGAGTCCAAAAGTGGCAGGCTAAAATCCAGCACCTCAATAAGTGGCTGAGACCAGATGAGAAACTTCCTTCTGGGCACACAGAAGAGTGGACAACCTGGAGGGCTCACAAGATGCAATGCCAACCCTAAGAAATGGGTCCACAAAGTGGAGTCCACAACAAACGAGTGTGGAGAAAAGCAAATCACAAACCACCTACTACAATGCAACCTGAGCCCTGCCACGTGCACAATGGAGAGCCTTCTCACTGTGACACCAGGGGCACTCCAAGTGGCCAGCTCCTGGTCAAAGAGCATTTAGCATAATGCCAAGTTCTTTAAAAAAAACTTTGTGTTTTAAAATACAGTATATTCTGGCGTATAAGACTACTTTTTAACCCAAGAAAATCTTCTCAAAAGTCAGGGGTCGTCTTATACGCGGGTGTAGTCTTATGCATGGGAGTCGTCTTAACTCTATATTTTAACTGGAAAAGTTGGGGGTCGTCTTATACGCCCAGTCGTCTTATATGCCGGAATATACGGTACATTTTAACTGTACCCTCAACTTGCTTCTGATATGATAAATAATTATTTATCATGTCAGAAAAGATTTATATCTTTTCAACATATAGCACACTGCACAGAGATCTCTGCCTACAAAAGTATACAATAAATGAAATGCAATTGACAGATGTATATCATGCCTTTCCATGGAGTCAGCCCTCCATATCCACAGATTCAACCATCCACAAAGCCTGGCTGGTTGCAAGGCCAGCTAACACCTCCCAACAAAGGATCCCCCAGGCAGCAACCAGCCAGGCTTTGAAGCTGCAAGGCCGTTCAATGCTAATTAAGGTGGCCAATGGCAACATTCACACTTGCCGCAAGCAGACAAGAGTTCTTTCTCCCACTCTGGACTTTCCACAGATATATAAACCTCACTTGCCTAGCTTCTAACAAACTTCACAATGTCTGAGGATGCCTGCCATAGATGTGGGTGAAACGTTAGGAGAAAATGCTTCTGGAACATGGCCATACAGCCTGGAAAACTCACAGCAACCTAATGATTCTGGCCATGAAAGCCTTCGTCAACACAAGGTGACAATAGTCAATTTTTACTGCCCACATATGTTTAATTACTTCCTTAAAAAAATCTCACAAATCCCAAACCAAACCTTTATCAACTTATCTATCCGAACGTATCTCAGCCTATCAGCCCACCAGGACCCTAAGATCTTCTGGAGAGTCCCTGCTCTCTATCCCACCGGCTTCCCAAGTGCGGCTGGTGGGAACGAGAGACAGGGCCTTTTCTGTGGTGGCCCCTCGGCTTTGGAACACCCTCCCTATAGAGATACGATCAGCCTCTTCGCTGATGGTGTTTCGGAAGAGATTAAAAACATGGTTGTGTAAACAAGCATTCGGTTAGTTTGTTATCACCGAATTTTATGGACTAAGGACTGGTTAATTATGGATGACGAATTCTGGACTGTGATTTTAGTGACGAGATACATGGTATTATTATTGGTGGCCCAATAATTTGTATTGTCTATGTGTTGTTGTTTTAAATTGTATATTGTTTTTAATTGTTGTAAACCGCAATGAGTCGCCGACTTAGGCTGAGATATTAGTGGTATACAAGTGTATTAAATAAATAATAAATAAATAAATAAATTATCAGCTTGCTGATAGAACCAGGTATAAGCTTTATACATCAAACTGCCCCAAACAACCCAAACCGCTGGCCTATCTAGTTCAGTTTTGTCTATACTGACTGGTATACAGACACCATACGTGCTGCAAACACTTTGGATGTTGGGTTACAACTCCAGGAGCCCAGGGTACCATTTGCTGCTCAGCCATGGAAATTTACTGGGTAAACTTGGGTATATCAAAATCTGTCAACCTTAAAGGAAACCAAACCTCCTCTGAATGGGCCAAAACTAACAAAATGAAGTTCAACAGCAACAAATGCAAGATACTCCACTTAGGCACAAAAAATGAAATGCAAAGATACAGAATGAGGGACGCCTGGCTCGAGAGAAGTACGTGTGAAAAAAATCTTGGAGTCCTCGTGGACAACATGAGCCAACAATGTCATGCGGCGGCAAAAAAAATCCAATGGCAAAAAAATCCAATGGACACTATACCCCTGCAGAAATAGGAGTATAGTGTCTAGATCCAGGGAAATCATGCTACCTCTCTATTCTGCCATGGTCAGACCACACATGGAATCACACTGTGTCCAATTCTGGGCACCACAATTGAAGGGAGAGGTTAATTAATTTTTAACAAAAGATCTTCTTTCCAGACCTTGGTCCTAACATAGTATGCAACTCTCCTTAAAAGCATGTTAAGTTTTAGGCAGGAGTTAACTGTAGGTTGAACATACTGGGAAAACATATGTTGATGGGTTAAAATCTCGTGCTGGTGGAATTGCTAACCTGAAGGTCGGTGGTTTGAATCCGCAAGATGGGGCAAGCCCTCATCTGTCAGCTCCAGCTTCCCATGCATGGACATGAGAGAAGCCTCCCATAAGATTATTGTTAAAGGAGTACAGAGGAGGGCAACTAAAATGATCAAGGGTCTGCAGAACAAGCCCCATGAGGAGCAGCTTAAGGAGCTGGGCAACTACAGGAAAGGAGATTCCACTTGAACGTGAGGAAGAACTTCCTGACTGTGAGAGCTGTTCAGCAGTGGAACTCTCCGCCCCAGAGTGTGGTGAAGGCTTCTTCTTTGGAGGCTTTTAAGCAGAGACTGGATGGCCATCTGTCAGGGGTGCTTTGAATGTAATTTTCCTGCTTCTTGGCAGGGGGTTGGACTGGATGGCCCATGAGGTCTCTTCCAACTCTTTGATTCTATGATTCTACGAGGTCTCTTCCAACTCTATGATACTATGAATAAACTGTGCCAAAAAGTCCTATGATAAGGTTGTCACAAGTAAGGGCTGTGCTGAAGGCACATGGTGGCAACAATTTCCTTCAAGACTATAAATACCAAGAAGCAGGAATACTCTCAACAGAAGATGTAGGAGAGAAGAATCATAGAATCCTAAAGAGTTGGAAGAGACCACAAAGGCCATCCAGTTCAACCCTCTGCCAAGAGGAATGACAAAAGTACATTCTACACATGCTCCTCTAAGTGTGCCCAAGGTCATTTGTTAACTGCATTCCTTTAAATGTCATATACATGACTCCCTTCTTTCACATACCAACCCTCTAAGGTAGGTCAGGCTGAAAGTGCTGGACTGGCTCAGGGTCACACAATGCATTTCTTGGCTAAATGATGACTTCAACCTGGATCTCCCAATTGCTTAACTAACTCTCCCAACAAGTACATCACACTAAAAAAGAGCTTCAAAATGGGATGTTTACTGGATGTGGATTATACTGGTAGTGTCTCTTATGTTACAAAATGAAAGCTTATAAATTGCAAAAAGTTGGCTAGAATCGTTCTTCTCTTGCAGAGCTGAGCATCAACTGGATTAAAACCAAAGTCCAATTAAATGCATCGAGAACTGCAGGAGACTTACCAGAATGTTTCCTTTCGCTTCATGTAAGCAGTGAAATGCCAGCTCTTGGTTGGTACCACCTCCAGGAAATATACTTGAGCATGCAGCAGTTACCAGATTCTCCACTGTTAAAACACAAACAAACACCCATTCAAGGGGTAAGTAAGAAAGTGAATTATCAGTTTAGATAGAAATATGGTGACTTTATTCTTAATCCTTGTCTGACATTTCTCAGAGAAGTGAAATACCACCATCTCTGAAAGTACTGGTTCTTTACCTTTTGGGGGAACCCCTTTGTGAATCCAAATACTACTATGGATCCCCTTCTCAAATTTATTTAATTTTCAAAGTATCAAAGGGAGAAAATTGAACTTCACAATATTTGAAACCAATCTATGGAAAACAGAGTACTAACCCAGGTTGAAATGGATTGAAGGTTCCTGTTTTAAACCATTATGAAGGTAAAGGTTTTCCCCTGATATTATGTCTAGTCGTGTCTGTCTCTGGGGGGTGATGCCCATTTCTAAGCTGAAGAACCGGCGTTGTCCATAGACACCTCCTAGGTCATATAGCCAGCATGACTAGATGGCGTGCTGTTACCTTCCTGCAGAAGTGGTACCTATGGATCTACTCACATTTGCATGTTTTCGAACTATTAGGTTGGCACAAGCTGGGGCTACCAGCGGGAGCTCACCCCACTCCCTGGATTTGAACTGCCAACCTTTTGGTCAGCAAGTTCAGCAGCTCAGTGGTTTAACCCACTGCGCTACCATTATACTCTTGTAGTATATCAAACATCAGGGGCAGGCAAAAAATCTGCACAATACAGAACACCATAAAATTATGTCTCCAATTCCTTTGTTAACACTAACTGTCCAACTTACAGATATTGGAAGGGTGGATTTTCACAAATCAATGTTAACATTGCCTTACTATTACCCTGAAGAAGAACATTGCTTCACAACACTGGGCAGCATGGCATGGCTCAGAAAAGTACGTTTTTTTGGAATATCACTGCTACAGCTCCACATCCCAGCATGGCTAGAAGCCATGTCAGTTAGGAATTGTGGGAGTTGAAGTTCAAAACACCTGGAGGGCCAAAGTTTGCCCAAGTCTCCTCTTGACCAAAGAAATCTCTACTTTGCATAGTCTCCCAAACCTCCAGATCAGATTGGAGGAGAACTGAAGGCTTTTACTACCTCCTACGCATTCAATCATTGGAATTTTAGTCAATGAGAGGCAATATTTAGGATTGCTCATTGCTTTACTCTAGGCTGACACTGTTTACTCTTTCTAAGCTAAGGGGTAAAAAAAAATTGCAGTATATAATTTAAGTCAAAGGAAAGACCTTTAAGGCTTTCGCCTTCACCACAATTTTCTGTTTATCCTTATTTATTATAATGGATGGCTGGTCCAAACAATTGCTAATTATCCAGCAATACAATATCCTTCTGCACTGGTAAAGCAGTTCATGATTTCCAGCTCTTTACCATTCTCCAGGACAGATGGATTCGTTTCCAGTTCTTTCCATGGCTGCCATACCAGCTCCTCCTTGGCTGTGTCAGAGGCTGCCAAGGATCGATCTCGAAGAGGTGGGATTTCAGCTTGAAAACGAGGGCCTACATTGATCCGTCTAAAAGAAAAAATAGAAATATACATTAATGAAATGGCAACATCGAGGAGATGCCAATTTGTTAAAACTAAGCACCTGCTTAGTTACAGCTCAGTCACTGGCACTGGTTGTCATAAGTAGTAAAGGATGTGCACTGGTTTATTCTGAGTTTTATCTTGTTGTGACATGCTTATATGTTTCATTCAATTGTATTTTATATTGTGTTTTATGTCACTTCTTGTTCTAGGCACTTCGTGCCTTATGTAAGCTGCCCCAAGTCTCTTTGAGGAGATGGTGGTGGGATATAAGAATAAAGTTGTTGTTGTTGTTGTTGTTGTTGTTGTTGTTATTTGAAACACAACAAGATGACTCCACAGCAAACAAGATCACTCTGCTGGCTCTTGTATTGGATCACACGTCGGACACTTCCCAAGTGTCTAGGACTGTGTAATGTATCAGCAAATAATGCATACAGATTCCAGTAAGGTGACCTTTTACAACTGGCAGACGGTAATTTTGTCAGCACCGATTGTGTTTAAATGAAGGCCAAGGTCTTTAGGCACTGCACCCAGTGTGCCGATCACAACTGGGACCACCTTGACTGGCTTGTGCCAGAGTCTTTGCAGTTCGATCTTTAAATCCTCATATTGTTTCAGCTTTTCCAATTGTTTCTTTTCAATCCTGCTGTTGCCTGGAATTGCAACATCGACAATCCATACTTTGTTTTTTAACACGATCATGAGGTCAGGAGTATTGTGCTCCAAAACTCTGATGATGATGATTCATTTCAATGGCAATATGAACCATTTAAAACACAAGTAAGAAGCTAGGCTTGAGTTTAATTATTAATCTCAACTAGGTAAAGGTAAGGTAAGGTTTTCCCTTGGGCTTAAGTCCAGTTGTGGAGATGGAGATGGTGCTCATCTCCATTTCCAAGCCAAAGAGCCGGCGTTGTCCATAGACACCTCCAATATAAAGTGGCCGGCATGACTGTGTGGAGCGCCATTACCTTCCCACCGGAGCGATACCTATTGATCTACTCACATTTCCATGTTTTCAAACTTCTAGCTTGGCAGAAGTTGGGGCTGACAGTGGAAGCTCCCCCCGCTCCCCCGGATTTAATCCTGCGACCTCTTGGTCAACAAGTTAAGTAGCTCAGTGGTTTACCCACTGCATCACCGGGGGCTCCACAGCCTCAAATAGAGCATGCACTAACTCAGTGTTTCTCAACCTTCCTAATGTTGCGATCCCTTAATACAATTCCTAATGTTGTGTTGAACTCCATCCATAACATTATTTTCGTTGCTACTTCAAAACTGTAATTTTGCGACAGTTATGAATCGTAATGTAAATATCTAATATGCAGGATGTATTTTCATTCACTGGAGGACTAAATTTTGCCCAAACACCCAATACACACAAATATGAATACTGGTGGGGTTGGGAGGTACTGATTTTGTCATTTGGGAGTTGTAGTTGCTGGGATTTATATTTAACCTACAATCAAAGAGCATTCTGAACTCCACCAATGATAGAATTGAACCAAACTTGACACACAGAACTCCCATGGCCAAAAGAAAATACTGGAAGGGTTTGGTGGGCATTGAACTTGAGTTTTGGAGTTGTAGTTCACCTACATCCAGAAAGCACTGTGGACTCAAGCAATGACGGATCTGGACCAAACTTGGCATGGATACTCAATATGCCCAAATGTGAACAATGGTGGAGTTTGGGGAAAATGGACCTTGACATTTGGGTGTTGTAGTAGCTGGGATTTATAGTTCACCTACAATCAGAGAGCATTCTGAACCCCACCAATGGGAGAATTGAGCGAAACTTCCCACACAGAACCCCCATGACCAACCCCTTTGGCAACTCCTCTGACACCCCTCTCCCCCAGGGGTCCTGACCCCTAGGTTGAGAAACACTGCCCTAACTAAATCTATTGTTGAATGGTAAGTCAAACTTTATGTAATCAAAACACATCAAAAAAAATCTTTAGGCCTACCTATTTCATCTCTAAATGCTATCGTACATGGGCCTAAAACTGTCTTAAACTTTTCAACCTTTTATGTGTTTAATGTGTTTTTAGACTATTTATATTATTTTCATTATTTCAGCTTACTTGCCCTGTCCATACTTGTATAAGACTCTTAATACTCTACTGGTTGATTGAAAAGGGGCCTCTACAAACAGAAAAAAGTAGCTCCAGGGTCAATACTGGGCAATTGCACTGGATACATTGACAAACACTTACGGCTCAATGCTGACAGGAGTACACTCTTCCATGACAGAAAGGACAGGAGGTGTGACTTCTGCACTATCTGCAAGGCAAAGGGCACACATTAATGTATGCTTCCATTTTTCATAATGTTATGCCAACTATCATTATTTTTGTACAATCATATCTGGTCAGGAGGAAGGTTGATCTTTAAAATGTCACTATACCATGCAATATTTTTCTCCTACTTCCTAGCATCTTTCTCAAATGGATTTATAATATTCTAACACTAGGCTCTAATTTAGGAAGTAATTGGAAAATCTGAGTTCCTAATTCCTCGTGGGCCACGAAGCTCTTGAAGCAGCCTTAGATCAGCCAGTATCTCTCAGTCCAACCTATTGACAGGATTGTTCTAAGAATAAAAATTGAGATGGGGGCTTTGTACAGTGCCTTTAGTTCTTTAAGAAATCGTTGGTATTTTTTTTTCCGTGTAGGAGCAACTTGAGAAACTGCAAGTCGCTTCTGGTCTGAGAGAATTCGCTGTCTGCAAGGACATTGCCCAGGGGACACCTGGATGTGTTACCATCCTGTGGGAGGCTTCTCTCGTGTCTCCGCATGGGGAGTTGGAACTGACAGATGGGAGCTCACCCTGCTCCCCGGATTTAAACTGCCAACCATTCAGTCAGCAGTCCTGCTGGCACAAAGGTTTAACCCATTGCGCCACTGGGGGCTCCTTTATAGCACAATGCATATACACAACATGAATACACAAGCAACACAACAGCTCTATGAATATCTTCCACAAGCATCAATCAAAATAGCAGTCATTCAGCCATGATGCCTCAACCCTTCCAAACCCAAGTCAGCAACACATGGAAACTTACTTGATCTGAGCAGAGTCCTGTGCCCACTTTTAGGAGTTATGGGGGGTGGAACGGAGTTGCCACTGGCAGAAAGGATGGCATTGAAATAGAGTCCCGAACCCTCTCGTACAGGGCTCAATATTGGCGGGGGAGTGTAAGGAGGTAGCTCAAAGTTCCTGTCCGAAGGGTGGTCTGCCAAACGGACCGGTGAGCGCAAATGGCTCTGGTATGGCGTGATATTGGAATAAACCGGTGGAGCAATGAAAGTGCCAGCTTTGGGTGGGATGAAGAGTGGTTCCGGTCTGGGCCGTTGCTTTGGTTTCCGTGCAAAACTTTCAGCATCTTCTTTTGGAGCTTCATTCTGTATTTTTAAAAAAGGACACTGATGTTATTTCACATCATATCAAGTGCTTTGGGAGGACCTAGAAAATACATAGAGGGGCCATATTTTATTGGACGTGGATAAATGAAACCATGGGTACTGGTCTTATGGATATGAAGTGTGTGTGTATCTTACTGTAGAATACAGAGTAATTTTTCAGAGTTCTGTCTATGCCTATGCAAATCTGGACCTACCTGGGCAGATGTGTCCATATTCAAATTGCGATTGGACCTTCTCCGAGTGACGATTACAGACGGCTTGCTTTCTGAAACTCCCCGGTCATTGGTCACAAAGTACTTGTTGTCCTCACTCCTATCCCTTCCAATCTCATGAGGGTCCAATCTCCTCACAGGAACAGACACGGGAATGATAAGAGGCACTAAGCTGCTGTCTTCCCGGGCTCGCTTTGGGGTAGATGAAGAGCTGGCAAACTCCACAACACTCCGGGGAGCAGCTACAGCTGCCTCGCTGTTGTTCTTCTCTTGTGTAGTTTCTGGTTCCTTCAAACAAAAAGACCATGCACCATTTAAGATACACATATTTTTACAATCACGTGGAACGTCTTGGATAGAAAAATGGTGTTACTGCCTCCAAACAAGGCAGGAGGAGTGAAATAAACCTTCTTTTCAATCCACAAAGCTATTAACATCTGTTAACAAGTGACCTGATTATCAAATCAGGAGTTATTCCTGATAATTGTATTTACAAATTAGCAAAGCAAAGACAGGCGGTGGCTAATGTTTGATTATAACAATGCTGTGCAACTCTGGTGGATGTGTAGACCAGTTTTCTGCTGCTGGGACTTTCCAGGAACCACACAGCCTGCCAAAGCACAGCAACAAACAATGAAAATCTGGGAAGTGGCCAAAAGTCAACTTCCAAGTTTCTTTTAATGTTGTATAGTGCTCCTAAGACCTGTTTAAAAGATGAATTACCATTCTTAGAGGCTTCCAGGAAAGGCAAATCATTTTTTACATATGTTGAGTGAGAGGATATTCTAAGGACTCTGAAAGGGCCAAGGGCTTCAAAAACAGCATGAAGGACCATATGCAGTACTGGGCTTTTAATATAAATGGATACATTTATAAGTCTTCTACTCAAAAATGAGAATCCTTTCCCATGTAATATAAAAACGATAGGAATCAGATCACAGTGAATAGTATCAAATGACACAACCCTTCCTACTGGGGCATAGGATACATGGTCCCACAGGGACAGTGCAGATTTCATCTTGACAAGCTTTGGGCTCAATTTATTTTTGGCTCCCTCTATTCTCTGGTATCATTCTCTTGGGACTATCATTCTCTCAGAACAGATGCCCCCAAGGAAGTAGGGGGGCGTGGATATGCCGGGGTACACATGGATATAGCTTACAAAACCTTAAAACTGAATTCTTTTACATCACTTTAGATGCACAAAATGATATTGTGGCACCTTTGAGACTGAGAGAAAGAAGTTTGTCACATACACCATTATAGAGTCAGTCTACTTCATCAGATATAATATGAGTTATGGCTCAGGTCCAACCTATTTTCGAGACTGCATCTCTTTCTATGAACCGATGTGGGCCCTAAGATCTGCCAGGGAGGCCCTTCTCTTGGTCCCACCTCCCGCTCAAGTGCGGTTGGTGGGGACAAGAGAGAGGGCCTTCTCGGTAGTGACTCCCGGCTTTCAAATGCCCTCCCTAAAGAGATTAGAGTAGCCTCCACCCTTTTTTTTAAACATCTGAAAACATGGCTTTTTACACAAGCTTATGACCATATTAAGCGATTATGAACACTATATCTGAGGACTTAGTGAGTGGTCACTGTGAGTGGTTACGACAATGGTTCTCAACCTGTGGGTCCCCAGGTGTTTTGGCCTACAACTCCCAGAAATCCCAGCCAGTTTACCAGCTGTTAGGATTTCTGGGAGTTGAAGGCCAAAACATCTGGGGACCCACAGATTGAGAACCACTGGGTTATGAGAACAGATATTGTACATAGCCACTATTTTATAGCTTGTTAGGTATTTTAGTATCTTTAACAGATATGAGTTTTATAGTTGTTTTATGTGTAATGCGGTTAATATTATTGCTATTAATTTAACCTTTTCCCCCATATGTTGGTGAAAGTGTACAAATCTCTCTCTCTATATATATATTGAAACTATTTCATAAAATAGGAAGGACTGGGCCATGGACTCTATTTATTTGGTGCATGGACTCTATCCATTATGTGGATTTCTGAGTATTCCCTACTTGACAAGGAAAATATTATACCTGGCACATATGAATAAGCTACTCCATATAAAAGAGTGACATGGATGGTGAGTTTGCAAGAAGCATTAAATAAAGCTTCACACAAATCTTGTAACCACCACCCATGTTATGTGCATTCATGATGGGAAAATGCATAGTCCTCCAGATGTTGTCAGACTGCAACTCCCTACAGGCCTAGTCATCAAGCCAATAGTGAGAAATGTCAGGAGTTACAATTCAGCAATATCCAGGGAGCTGCAGAATGACAACCTATGGGGCTCACATTCTGCATGCCAGAGAACAAGCAAACTAGACCCAAGAATGATTCAAATTATATATATAATTAGGCTATTTGAACCGCTCTTTTTCAACTCAAAGAATAAGTAAAAGATAATGTAACAAGCCTTTTGGCTGTTGCAACAGAAGGCATGGTTTCTAGGAGCAGCTGGCCAAATGTAAGCAAAAGTAGGAAAACTGACAACATTACTAATGGGTTTTCAAGGAAATGAGACATAGTTTTGAAGCTATTGGAAGACTGCACTGCACATTGTACATAATGTTACTCTGCCCGAGCTCTTTGAGTTCAGAGTTCAACAACGGTAATCTTCGTGTTCAATTAGTCAAGAGATGTCAAGTATTTCCAGTTTCAAAACAAGAAGAACAATATTATATATCCAGGATTCCTGCAAAGCCTCAACTAAACGATTCTTCAAGTTGCTTGGCACTTGCTCATATATCATTTAAACCCAGCTCTTGGGTGATCTAGTGGAGGGAAAATAATTAAACTGAGAATGGGTGGGATTCAGTAGGAGAATGGAGGCAAAACTGAGGAGGCAAGAATGAATTACTTTGCTCCTGCTGACTCTATACAATACATATATATATAGTTTGTTTGTTTATTTTTATGCCTTCTGCATCATGAAAAATTTCTGTTAGAAATGTAATATAACTAACTGGTTGCTGATGACTCGATGACTTGATCATGAAAAATCACAGCAGCTTTCAGCATTTCTCTCTCCTGGCTAGGCAGGCGAAGGCTGTCAGAACCTGGCAGTCCAACAATACCTGGATAAACACATGGTTACCTCTTTGGTAACCTCAAGCTATGGCTGATACCAAATGAGAGACTCCCTCCTGGGCACACAGAAGACTGAGTGACTTGGAAGGCATTGAACAGACTGTGGTCTCTATAATGTTTATCAGTCTGCGGACCAAGTCAGACATTTGCCTGCCCTTAACAAATCCACATTGGTCTGGGCTAATATAATCCTCTACGAAGTTTTTTAATCTATTTGATAAACATTATAGAGAATGCAAAAAACGAGAAAGCTCAAGTAGGCATTATTGCATTAGATATATATAAAGCCTTTGACTCGGTGGGTTGGACAGTGCTGAAATCATTAATTAAAAAATATGGTTTTGGAGAGGGGTTCCAACATATAATAGAACAAATATATTCGGAAAATAGGGCAAAAGTTATAATTAATGACTCGAGTACTGAATCCTTTAGTATCATGCAAGGAGTAAAGCAGGGTTGCCCTCTTTCTCCGGTACTATTTATATTAGTTATGGAATTATTGGCCTCGGCAATCAGGAAGGATAAAGAAATACAGGGAATGGGAGTGGACAACAAAATCAAAATTAGTTTATTTGCAGATGATACGCTCTTGACAGTTAGAAATCCAGATAGGGCACTAGACCGGATAAACCTACATTTAAAACAGTTTGGTAAAATAACAGGCCTAATAATTAATTGGAAGAAAACGGAGGTAATGGCAATAAACCTGGAGAGAAAAGACAAAGAGAAAATAATTGATCAATTTAAGGTTAAGATTAGAAACAAAATTAAGTATTTGGGAGTTACAATACCAGTCAATTATTCAGAGTTAAAAATATTAAATTTTGACAGATTATTTAGGGAAATTCAAGAAAGACTACTAGAATACAAAAAACTTAATCTCTCATGGTTTGGTAGAATCGCAATCTTTAAAATGAAAATATTATCCAAATTTAACTTCCTATGTAATATGTTACCTATTAAACTGCCAGAGGTTGATCTTAAAAAATGGCAGAAAATAGTAAATGAATTTTGTAATGGATCTAGAAGATCTAGGCTACCGAGAGGCCTATGGTATATTTCTCAGAAATTAGGGGGATTAGGAATACCAGACCTAAAAACCTACCATCAGACACATATAATAAAGGGAGTGTTTAGGCTGCTTTCGGAACCTAAATTAATTTGGCGGGAAGTGGAAGGAAAATGCTGGCACAGAGATTATGGGGAAATGTTTTTTAGGTCAAAAATAGGCAAGGAAATTAAGGGGTGTAAAAATAACCTGGCTAAAGATGTCATGGAGACATGGGTTAAATTAAAAAATAAGATATTTCCAGGAGTTTCCCCCCTAACTCCAATAGTTTTACTGGAAAATTTTCCAGAAGACCTGAGAATTAAACTTAAACATAAAAAATTAGTGGAGGGGGAAACTGCTCTCTCCTGGAAGGAATGGACACAAAACTCAAAGGGCAAGTTTAGTAAGTTAGAAGAACAAGGTGCCCTGAATTGGTTTGAGAGACAACAGCTGTATAATTGGAGAAAGGATTGGTTAAGCAAAAATCCCAGATGTAGAGCACTGAATAAATATGAGGAATGGTTAAGTAAGCTCAAAAACCAAGAAATAATGGGGAAAGGATTAATTGGGAAAATATATAATGGACTAATTGGTGAAGAAATAGGGCTGAAGCTGTTAGAAAACGTATGGGAGGGAGACCTAGGGCCTCTGATAGATTTTGATTGGAAAAGGGTCCTGAAGTGGAGAGTGGCTAAGAACCTATCAATAAGATTAAAAGAAAATGTATACAAAGTTATATGGAGATGGTATACTACGCCAGTCAAACAACATCAGATGGATAGCAAGCAAAGTAACCTCTGCTGGAGATGTGGCAAACACAAAGGGACATATTTTCATCTATGGTGGGAATGCCCCCAAGTGAAGAATTTTTGGAAGGATATATTTACCGAAATAAACAACATTATAGGATCAAATATTATGCCGGATGCTAGGTTAGCATTATTAATGGACACCACGAAGCTGAATGTAGAAATAACTAAGAAAGAATTGGTGACTATTTTGCTCACAGTGGGAAGAATTATAATAGCAAAGAACTGGAAAATAATAACCAATCTAACACTGGATGCATGGTATAGGGAAGTTTGGAATGTAGCTTTAAATGACAAACTAACAATGGAAATGAGGGTATTCA